ATTGTTGTCAATCTGGGGCCTTACTGTGCCTCACAAATAATCAGTTCACCAGGCAAGATGCTTCAAAGGAAGCACAAAAGTACTCTGCACATCCTGGGCATCATATCCTCCATCCATCCTTATTTTTCAGGTATAATCTGTCATCCTAGTTTTTCAGCTACTTTGCAACTGTCCCAGTTTCTCTCTCCTCCTCCTCTCACTTTCCCCCTTTGTCTTCAGCTTACTTAAGTTCTGCAAACTGAGTTTAAAAAACAAAAGCAGTTTCCACTCAGTTAACTCAGCAAAGTGGAGAGAATCATAGAATAGAGCTGGGAGAGACTACAAAAACGATCCAGTCCAACCCCTTGCCATACAGGAATACACAATCAAAGCACTCCCAACAGATGGCCATCCAGCCTCTGTTTAAAAACTTCCAAAGAAGGAGACTCCACCATTCTTCAAGGGAGCCTACTCCACTGTCAAACAACTCTTACTGTCAGAAAATTCTTCCTAATGTTTAAATGGAATCTCTTTTCATGTAGTTTGAATCCATTGCTCTATGTCCTAATCGCTGGAGCTGCAGAAACAGATTTGCTTCATTCTCAATATGACATCCTTTCAAATATTTGAACATGGCTATCATGTCACCTCCTAACTTTCTTTTCTCCAGGCTAAATATATCCAGTTCCTTAAACCCTTCCTCATAGAATTTGGTTTCCAGACCTTCTCTTTGTTGCCCTTGCCTGGAAACATTCCAGTTTGTCAGCATCCTTTTTGAATTATGGTGCCCAAAACTGGACACAGTATTCCAAGTGACAATATTCTGACCAAACAGAATAGCACTATTACTTTCTTTCACCTATTTTAGACACTATACTCCTATTGATGCAGCCTAGAATCATGTTGGCCTTTTTGGCAGCTGCATCAGTGTTGACTCATGTTCAGCTTGTGATTTACTGAGACTCCTAGATCCCTTTCACATGCACTGTTGTCAAGCCAGCTGTCCCCCATCCTGTTTCAAGTGTAGTACCTTACATTTCTCCCTGTTGAAATTCATTTTGCTAGTTTTGACCCAAGTCTAATATGTTAAGATCATTTGGGTATATGGAGCTTAGGTGTGGCTCCCACTTGAAAGTACACACCGTTGTGTTAACCTGTGCCTGCTGCCAAAAACTAAGGCTTTGATTTGTACTGTTTTTCATAGACTAGGGTGGGGTAGGTGGAATCACCACTTGGCAGGACAGTCTGGAAATCCTGTATTTGCAGAAGAAATGTTAGTTCATCTATGTCTATGATGTAATAATGCTTTCCCTTTTGGTTAAACAACAGCCAAGATAACACATCTGGCCTTTGTGAATGTTTGCTTGAAGACAGCTGCTCCAAAGATAAAACACAACTTGGGGTTGAGACTGAAGTGGCAACTCAAATAAGCAAGGCCTGGACTTGATCGGCAAAAACCTTCTGTTGTTTGAAACACTCATTCGTGGGAAATGTGTTCCCATCTTACTTCATGGCAAGGTATAAAATGGGCTTTCCTTCTCTCAGTTGCCCCCCTCCATCCATGTTCTCTTATGGTTGTTTGTAGGTAACAATGGGGCAGTACATCTGTTCTGGGTTTTAGACTGAGCTTTAAAGGAATGATCTAAGGTGTTGAACATTACCTTCCTCTCAAAAATATAGGTTCTGCACACTGAGTAGATCCATTAATTAAAACATGGAATGGATTCACTGCTCCAAGAGCCAGCAGCTGCCATTGCAGGAAATATATATTTTGTTGTTGCTGTTGTTGTTTTTTTTTTAAAAAAACAAACACATTATCTTATGCCTCATTTCTATCAAATATTTGTAACCAGTGTGTATGGTCTCATACATTTGAACTTCACAATGATTCTGCAATATTATTATTATTATTATTATTATTTCTATTCCGCCCCTCTGCCGAAGCAATCGGGGCGGCCTACAGATTTAAAATATTACAATATACGATCCCCCCCAAAAAACCCTCCCACCCCTTAAAATAGCATTTTAGTACAGGAAGACTATGGCTGCTGTCACACTGCAGAATGAATGCAGTTTAACACTGCTTAAACTGTCATGGCTCCATCCTATGGAATCCTGGGATTTGTAGTTTGTCATGACACCAGAGCTCTCTTGACAAGGGCTAAATATCTCACAAAACTACAAATACCGGAATTCCATAACATGTGTCCTGACAGTTGAAGTGGTGTCAAACTGCATTGCTTCTGCAGTGTAGATGTAGGCCCAGCCTAGGTTTCATGGCTGCCACTCCACATCAGCTGAGTCTATATTGTAAAAAGAAGTATGAAGAAGTACTGGATCTTCCAGTACATCATTGGGTGGTTTGCACTAGACTGGTAATGTTTTCTGAGTTCCATTTACTTGTGAACAGAACAAAATTATTTTTCCACCCAGCTAGTCAGGTCTCTTCAAATGCTCTTAAATGTGGTGGAGGATGCTGGCCATATGCTAGTCCAATTGGTTTATATAGATTGAATAAAGAGACATGACATCTTATATTTTACCTCAGGTGGCAGAAGGTACTGTGCCAAGCCTGGACTTTTGTGGGAGCATCATTCTGTCTCAGTACAGGCTTAGGGCCTTTGCAGACTGCCAGAAATAGTGCACATTAAATTGAGGCACTGCCCTGGCTCAGTGCTAGGGAATCATGGGAATTGTAATTTATTGTGGCACCAGAGCTTTCTGACAGAGAAGGCTCAATGTCTCAGAAAAAAATACAATTCCCATGACTCCCTAGGACTGAGCCAGGGCAGTGCCTCAATTTAATGTGCACTATTTCTGGCTGTCTGCAAAGGCCCTTAGTCTTTTTTTTCCCTAAAACGCTTGGGACCAGAAGAGTTTTGGATTTAAGATTTTTTTTTTAATTTGGAATATTCACATATATATAATGAGATATCTTGGAAATGAGACCAAGTCTAAACATGAAATTCATTTATGTTTCATATACATTTTATACACATAGCCTGAAGATAATTTTATACAAAATATTTTAATAATTTTGTGCATGAAACCAAGTTTGTGTACCCTGAACCGTCAGAAAGGAAAGGTATCACTATCTCAGCCATTCATGTGGACAACTTTGGATTTTGGAATAATGTCAGATTTCAGAATACAGGAAAAGGAATAAAGGACTAAAAACAAATTCCAGGGCTTGGAATGTGCACAAAACTTTTGAAATTATTCATTCTCACAAGCAAGAATGGAATAAGCAGAAGGGCAGCCAAGGAACACCTGCTGAAAATGTGTAGAGGGTCAGATCTAACACTTGCCAGCGATAGTTCAAAGAAACATCTGGACTGTAAATATCCAAAGCCTGTCATATATGATACAATGGAATGGATTAATCATAACATTCAATATTAGTTATCTGCAATAATGTAAATGACTGTTGAGTGATGGGCATTCAGCAGTAGACATGATAGCAAATTCCTATATAAAGGCTCAGATTTGTTGCTATGTGCCTTTAAGCCAATTCTGACTTACAGTGACTCTCTCCCAGAGTTTTCTTGGCAAGATTTATTCTCATTCTATTTAAAGCAACTCATCTCCAGTGGGATACAGGCGCGTTTAATTTTAAAAGTGGGTGTTATCGCACTCAGCCATAGCAAGGCGAGTGCAACGCATATGCAGCCCAGATCCCAACCATGCTTATCCAGCAGCTTTTCAAAAATGGGAGCTTGCTGTTTTTGAAAAGCTGCTGGATAAGCATGGCTGGGATCTGGGCTGCATACAAGATGCAGTCGCCCAACCACCACTGACTGTGATAATATAAATATAATACTTTTAAAATTAAACATGACTGTATCCTGTTGGGGATAAGTCACTTTAAATAGGATGTGATCATCTCCAGTGTGGTTTCAACAAAGTCAACCAGCCAATTTCCATGTCTGAGTAGGGATTTGAAGCCTACTGTCTCACACTTGTCCCAACACTCTTCTTGGCATAGAATTTTTGGTCAAGTACCTCATCAAACTATAAATTCCAAATTCCATAGGATGGAGCCATGTCCTAGCAATATCAGAAAGATACAGTCGTATAATATGGACACACTCCTGGGCTCTCTGAAGGCTTCCTGTTAGCTACTGTAAGAATGATGATGAAAGAATCTCTGAACTGATTCAGCCTGGTAGTTCTTGTAAAACCTTAGCCACCATTATTGATCTTTTCACTGAAGTCTCCCCTATTTAGATTCTGGGGACACCCAGGTTCTCCCACCTGCAATCCAACCCCCAAAGTTATATGAAAACCTCCAACAGGTTTAGAACAATTAGAAGATTCTTTTTAATTTATTTATTTATTTATTTGGAATGGGGAGCTTTTGATTTCACATTTCTAAAAGGAAAAGGTCCAACCAATGATGAAATCATCTGTGATACATTATGAAGAGTCAGCTCAGCTGAGAAAGGATGTTTGACTGTGCCATGTGGTAGATATTAGCAAACACTTAAGAGAAACCACAAATCCACATGTATTTGCCTTAAGTGAGCCAACAACATCTGCTCAAGCCCTTTTGGGTCCCTCCACTGTTTGAGAGCAGAGCTTGGTCTCTTGGTGGTTCCTCCTCATTCTTCTCCAAACTCCAAAGCCAGATGAGTAAAATCACAGCCATTTTATGGTGCAGACGTTCAAATTATTTCAGGGTGTCGCTAGCTTTTAAGACCACAAGCTTCAGTCAGTTGTGTGACATTTTGCTTAGCCTTGCAGCCTGCAAAACCTCCACTTCCCATAGCAAACTGTCAAACGAAAGAGAGATTATAAAATACATAGCATATGCCATCAGCATATGTAGCCCTTGTAGCTTAATATGAGAGCCAGCACGGTGTAGTGGTTTGAGTTTGTTGTGTGCTTCCAAGTCATTTTTGACTTATAGTGAACCTATCACAGGGTTTTACTGGCAAATTTCTTCAGAGGGGGTTTGCTATTGCCATTTTCTGAGGCTGAGAGAGCATGACTTGCCCAAGGCCACCCAGTGGGTTTTTTTTTTCTCAAGCAGGGAATCAAACTCTGATCTCCAGAGTCATAGTCCAATGCTCAAACCACTATGCCACACTGGTTTGAGTGCTGGACTACAATTCTGGAGAATAGTGCTTACATTCCTGCTTGGCCAACTCAAATAGGATGAGAGTCTGTGAGAAAACTGCCAAATGTCAACCAGGTTCATGTCAGCAGGCTTTAGGGTAAATAAACATAACACTGAAGGGTTGAAGACTTATTGTCTTTTTCCTTCCATGTTGGATGGGTGTCAAGGGAACAAGGAGTCTTTGGATCCAGAGGATCCCATGCCTCCCTGGATCTACTCCACCACACATCCCTTTTTTGCAAAAACGGGGATGGGGATAGTGATTTACTCAGCAACAAGAAGGTGAGTTATATGAAGAGATCTCCCTCTCTAACTCCACGCTGCTCTCTCCATAATTGCAGAGGGAGAATTGCACCATCCTAAAGCCCATGGGATGCCTTTTTAAAGGACTGTTGACACTGCAGCCATTGTTTTAGGCTTTTGGTGATGTTCAGTTCAGATCTTGAAAGCATGACTGGTTTTGGACCACAGGTGTCTAAACCTACTGTTATGCATTGTAGGGGATTTGGGGAGCTCTGTGTGTGTTTGTGTGCTTGTGTGCCTTCAAGTTGTTTCTGACTTCTGATGATCCCATCATAGGGTTTTCTTGGCAATTTTCATCAGAGGGAGTTTGCCATTGCCATCCTCTGAAGCTGAGAGAGTGTAACTTGCCCAAGGTTTTCATGTGGTTTTCAGTGGGTTTTCATGGCTGAGTGGGGATTCCACTCTCCAGAGTCCTAGTTTAATGCTCAAACCACTACACCATGCTGGATCTCCACTATTCTCACCAAACTAACCTTTCCTAAGCTCTGAATCAATTCATATTTAAGGAGCAATTGGTTCATGCCTTAAATGGGTATGAAGGAAAGAAGAAATGAGTGTCCAGTGACACACATCAATAGTTTTGTTCTCTTTTAAAAAATTCTGTAGAAGTATTTTGAATTCCCCTTCCCACCCTGATTTCTGAAGGAGGCCGGATTTCTGGAGGCAGACTTAGCCAGCAGTTAGTCTGGAAACCTCAAAACCTAGACAGAAAGCAGAATTTGTTAGTCCTTTTCCCTTGACCCTTTCCTTCCTTAGCTCATCTATCTCCCTCTGTGAAACTCTAGACTTTATCTCCAGTGTCGTTGCAATTATGAAATGTAAGCTCAGAGTTTTCACAAGCTTGTATTTATATGACATCATGGAGACAGATGGCACTTTGCAAATTACTTGGCAATGATGCATCCCAGATCCAAACAGTGTATAGCACAAGACAGGCAGGAGAGGACAAGGAATGACAGAAGACAGAAAGATATGACAGGAAGGAGAGGACGAACGCTGAAACAAATAAGGACCATATGATGCCTTTTATAAAAATGACTTGGGAGTTCCCACTTTTCCTGTCCCCACCTCCTTCCTCCCCCCTTCATTTGGTATCCTCATAACATTTTAGGGCAAGGGAAGAGGAGAGAGTGAAGTAATGATAGGCAGAAAATTTTCATCATATATCAAGGGCCAAAACTTCTAAAAGGACATGATTATTTTTTTACACAGAGAAATAGAGTTCTGTCTTTTGTCCAGTAAGAGTTACTGTTGTTGTCCTGTCACCCTTGGCTGTTCCTCCAAAGAAATATAAATTCAATGGTTCTCTTACAGAATCACAGAGTTGGAAGAGAACTCAAAGGCAATCCAGACCAGCCCCCTGCCATGCAAGAAGAGATAAGCAAAGCCTCTTTTAAAAACCTCCAAATGTATGATAAGCAGAGTATGAAAAATATTAGTTACAAATAATGAATTCTTTCCCTCAATAACTACATACATTACATTATGATTGTAAGTTTGTGATGTAACTGTAACGTCCATAGTTACTTTTTTATTCACGGCAGTGAAGCTTCACTAAATGGTGGAGGGGGAATCTTAAAAATGACGGCCCATGCAGTGGCATCACTAGGGTTGGCGTCACCCGTAACCCATGGTGTCACCCCCCCGATTGACCTCCCATCCCATCCCATCCCATCCCATCCCATCCTTGGTAATGTTTTTTTGTACTAACATTACTCCTAAATTGTAATTCCCATATATCACTGAATACAGTGGTGGTAGCTGTGACATAAACAACTAGCAATGTTAAAATTATACCTTTAAATGACAATATCATACACACAATCTAAATGTATTTACATGTACATAGTTTAGTGGGCTTAAAGTGAAAATTTGGTAAAATGTGATGTTTTTAAGGAAAATTTTAAAAGAATACATTTTTTAAAAAAAGGTTTATTTTTTTAAAAAAATTGAAATTTTAATTATTTTTAAAAAAACAAAAACAAAACCCGGGGCCCTCTCCTTTCTCCTCCCACTGAGTTTAATCCCTCTCACATAATCTCTTAAAGCATTTTAAAGGGAAGCAGGTGAATGCCAGAGCCCCTCTCTGCCAAAATACAGATGTTTGAGGAGCAGTAGTGTCACCTCGTGTGGTCCACACACCTGCAGCCCTTAGTGACTCCATTGGGCCCATTCTGTAACTCATGCTGCTGCCTTGTGCTAGGTTGTGTGTGTTCGGTCACATCATCTGGACAACCAGGTTTTGTCTGGATTTAAGCATGCCATCCAGTACCTGTCTGGACCATCATTTGGTCCAGATTCCAAGCTTTCATTTCTTCTTACCAAGGTTGGAGAAAATAAGTTTTAAAAAACACCAATAACCCATTCTTATTGTTTTGTATGTGTGTTTAAACTGCTTTGTTGTTCCCGCTGTTACATTAATGTGTAGGACTACAGCAATATAGGGCTAAACCAAAAAATTAAGTTGCAAAAATGCAGTTCAGATATTATGGCGACTTGTTGTTGTTGTTGTTGTTGTTTTGTGCCTTCAAGTCATTTCCAACTAACTTCTAGTTTACTATAATTGTTATTTTAAAAAGTGCTCTTTTAAAGCAAGTTGTTTTGGTTGAACTTATGTTAATTGAAGGATATGTTTCTGAATGGCATTTATCATGATGAGTTTTCATCTTGTCTTATTATTGCTGATTCCTTGTTTTTATTGTTTTATTGTATTCTATTTTTTTAAAATTTTTCTTATAGTTTAATTCTGTTTTAAGGGGATGGGAGGGTTGGATTGTGGAATGGAGGAATGTTTTAATTATGTTTGTTTTAATATGCTGTAACCCGCCCCGATTGCTGCGCAGAGGGGCGGGCTATAAATAAAATTTATCATCATCATCATCATAAAATAAAGTGATTTAAAAAGATGCAAGTGGCACTGGTCTAACAACAAACAACTGCCAATAAACTATTAAAGTTAAAATGTTAAAATCAGTCGTTGTTCCAGTAAGAGGGTTGGAGTATAGTAATAGCCAGACATACATACATACATACATATATATTCATATATATATATATATATATATATATGAATAATCAAATTTAAAAACCAGGAGAATTTTTTAAAAAAGTGATTTGGTTTAAACCACAAATTCAGGGTTGTTGTTGCTATTATTTTAAGTACTTCTCTAGCCCTTGTAGAAGTCAAGATATGAGGCAAAATTATAGTATAGACAGTCTTCCGTCACATTTTTCTGCAAGAAAGAAGTCCATTTGGCAATTTCAGGTGTGAGGGAAGTGAGCATGCAAGAAGCCAATGAAGAATGCATCACAAGGGCATAAAGGCTGTGTTCACATTGCAGAAACAATCCAGTTTAACACCACTTTAACTGCCATGGCTAATGCTATGGAATTCTGGGATCTGTAGTTTGTTGTGGAACCAGAGCTCTTTAACAGAGAAGACTAAATGTCTCATAAAACATGAATTCTCAGAATTCCATAGCATTGAGCCATGACAGTTAAAGTGGAGTTAAACTGGATTATTTCTACAATGTGGATGCAGCTGATGTGAGGCAGAGAATAAATAAGAGAGATGGAAGGCAAACAGTGCAAGCTACACATGAAGTGAATGAGGAGTGCACCACTAGGACATGAGGTGGGGTAAGGCAGAAGTAGGAGAAATAGGAGGGCCAGTGGTGGACTACATCCATGTTTATTTGCCTTGGTACGGTATGGGACATTTGTTCTATCTACTCACACACATGTCTAAGTTTTATGTGCATAAAAGGTATACCATTTACCTCTACAATGTAAACTCTAACAAGAAAACAAAACAATAGGTTTTGCACGGGTGAGGATGTTAAAAGGATTTATGTCAAAAAGAAGTACAAGGATGGTGTTAAGTGGAAAGGAATTGGCATTTATTTTAATTTTTGTTCCTGGCTTGGCAGGGATGGCCCCTGTTAATCATCTGATGTCCCACTTTCTCAGTTGCTGTCCTGGTTTCTTTCTTCCCTGCCCACTTCCCTCCTTTGTCCTCAGTTTATTTCAATTGCTGAAAACAGAGGAGCTTATCGATTGGGATTTTAAACCAAATCAAGCCTGTTGGGCAGCAGCCAGGAGGCAGGATGGAGGTGGGGATTATTGCATGCTAAATCACCACCAAATTGCCAGCCGCCATCAGTTCCAGATTTCAAAGTGCAAAACTAGTTTGCACTCCATTAATTCAGCAGGAGGGAGAGGAGGTGACAGAGGGCCTCGGCAGACGGTTAATAGAGCCGTCTTGAAGGCAGGGGTGGGGCAGCCGCATGCTCGGCGCCCCATCCCTCTCCCGAGGTCGTCCTCGGAGCCGCCAGCCCTCCGCACGCTGCGGCTTTTGAGGCGCACTTTCAGGCCCAGAGTCTTGTCCTTCCAGTTCTTCATAGGTTCACTTAGTTTTTCTTCTTTTCTCAGAGCATACATTCCAAAGTTTCTCTGCTTAAAATCATTGTTTTGTATCTTCTTCCTCATTCATAACTTCTCCTTCTTTTTGTCTGGCTACACTCTTAATTTTGACCACACTCTTAATTTTGCTCAGCCACACATGTTCCAGTTTTCATGAGTGAGATGTTGGAAGGCATGGTGTTGATGTGTTTATTTGTGTTAGAATGTCCCTCTCACCTCTCAACTACTGTCTGTTAAACAACTGTGGTT